CATACCAAAAATTTTGTTCCACGGTTGAGCTGGCTATTTATAAAAAGTTTCCTGGAGGAATTATTTTATAACTGGTGTCAGTATCCCCTAACCGTTAGGTGCTTGACTGAAATAAATTAATTCCCTGAAGACTATTTTTAAAGTCGCTACTTGCAATACCTTCGTGGAGAATTACTCGTTTTTATGACTAATAGTTAAAAACAGTCACATCAGCCGCATTTCACGAATGCGAGAGGTTACGTCCGTTGCTGGATCCTCCCTGTGTTTCAGCCTTAAACCACAACTTGTGCTGAAAGCATTTTGTGGTCGTTGCCACAAATTTGCACCATTACTAGCACTACTTGTATTTAGGTCGAAAGTACACAGTTATCCTACAGAATTCTGTTGTATTGGGGCCAAAGTCTCATAACTGATATGGACTAACTCTAAACATTGTGTCCAGATTGTATAACTTCACGTTATTTCTCCATGACTTACGAGAACTCTATTCTGGCGTATATGCATATGTATTCGTAGAGAAAGAGGTACCGACAAAAACAAGGGAGACTGGGATAGCCGTTTCTGAGGTGTTGGACGTCAACCAGGCACACCCTACCCCAAGTATGGATGACCTGGGATTCGATCCCGAGTTCTCTGGTTGTAAAAATTTGTTCAATCCAACGCCCTATCATTGAGCCACGTGACCTATGTCCCGTCAGGCGCGATCAGGAAGATTAATTGCAGTATGTGGCGGTTGCGATTCACTGGTCAGGTTGCGGGATGCGCTCGTCCCAACATGCCTTGAGGCGGTCTGTGGGAAGATAGCTTACTTGTCCGACCTTTTGCACTCACGCCTGAGTGCTCCACCAAAGATGGAAAAAGGGAAAATAAAAGACTTAACTAGGTCCTTTAGGCTTAGTCTCGATAAAAGCATCAGTCTGTCTTCTCCCTTGTAACTGTTTAATGTTCAAGTGCCATCTGATAGATTTGTATGGCGCTGTGGATCGACTACGTCTGGTCCAAGGGGCATGGAATTGTCGGGTTCAGATCAGTTTTATCGTCACTTTACTTTCAGCTAACTCAACTACGTGTGCTCTGTTTAAGGCGGATCATTGATTGTTCTCCAGGTTATGCATAGCCGCATCTGGTTGTGCACCTTTCCACTTCACAGTTAGATTTGCCGATGAATTCGCGTTCATAGTCGTTTGTCGGTCACGCATCAGTAGTTGGTCAGGCAATCTGAACAACCACCGCGGTAGATTATTCCAGACTTTTATTCTGGCAGTAATTGATCCTTTGGCCATTTTGACGAGTGACTGATAGATGAGCTCAGACCTGTGTCTAAGCTCTACATTCAGAAGCCCAAGCACGCGTTTTGTGACTTCTGAAACGTCCCTCAAGCAGATGAAGGCTCGAAAGATTTCGGGTTTTCGTGTGCCTCTGGTGTGTGCATTCCCTGGGAGGGAGAGATGCCATTAAAATCGACCCTCCCACAACTCCTCGGCCTCTCCCTCACAGGGTGTGTCTACCCTCTTGAACCTTTGTTATTAAGCACATCTCTTCCAATGCAACGCTAGTGTTCACTTCCTAGATGTTCCTGTGTGGCAACACTCTCATCAGTCGTCGAAAGCTGGTGATTCGGTCGCTATAACTTAATTGGCTTCATTCTATATACATTCAACGATATCAGCATACTGCTAAGGTGACTTTTCATTAACGAGCAGCATGATATTATAGATAAATAGATGCTTTGGTAGATTTTAATAATTAATTTGACTGAAAAGTGGGAGACTCATCAGTCTCGGTGGGATTTGAACCAATATCAGCAAGGGTAAGCCTGGATTCTATACTCCACAGTTGGTTGTGAGGGTAGCTTGACCTAGACGTGATTAAATCGACGGCTCCCTGACGAGGTGACGTAGCTCAGGTGCTTAGAGCGTTGACTGTACTCAAGCCTCGTACTTACGTTCGTGGGTTCCAATCCCGCCGAGGCCGACGGGTTCTTCACAACTGGGCAGATGAATATACATGGGACCAGCCAGACCAAGTGACCGGAAATCTGCATGTGGGGCTATTAGTTACCAGCTGATTTTTCACACGATCGCCATATTAAAATTGTTTTCTCCTCTACAACTGCATATTTATGCAGACTGCGTAGAAGGGCCAGCCCTCGCGAGAACCACTTCATGGAAATTTAAGACAGTTTGTTTCCTAGCAGTATTTTAAGTATGCCCAGGATGGCCGGAGTACCCGCATGTGCTGATATTATCTAATTTCGCTACTCTTCAGGCAGCTGCAAAAAGACTTCGCCTGGTTGCTTAGACGGCGACAGGTATAATGAAAAATGCTGAACAGCGAGACACAGCATGGTTTCAGAACAAAGATTAGTCAGGCAACTGCGTAGGATTGGTGTGATGACGGTAAAATTAGTATACGACTGGTACCATGACAACGCGAGATTAATCACGTGACCCAGTAGTTTGCGCAGCCCTGGATGCGTCTCCTATTACTATGACATCAGAGGGCTGGACGAGGGATTAGGGGGCCCGCACTCGAAGGCGACAGTCGTCCTCCGCGAAGCGTAATAAAACCTGCGCCCGAACTGTTTGAATGAGAGGCGTGAACAACGTCATTTTTATCCTTCCAATCTGCAACACAGCCCATTTCAAGAATATTCCTTTAAAATTACCAATGTGCTTGAAGAAAACCGAAGAAACACCATCTTAACTTTTTGCATCTGTATAAGCGCCATTATCATATTGGACGCGCTGCTTGTGGGCGGATGTGGTCAGACGCCACTTGTCATTCCTCAGTTCAAATTGGAGAATGTTTTCAAGTGCTGCCTAGGGAGAGGTTGTTCACTGCCACTCTAGACCCCATGCACACATTTCTTGAGAGCCCTTGAAACTCAAACACGCGGAGCTGCTCCCTAAACTTAAACTGCTGACTGTCGTCTTCCGCATTCGCGTCAGCAGCCAGCCCCCCCCCCCCTCCCCACTGTCGTTCCTCGTTTCCCAGAATTTAAAGTGTGTAATAAGAGCGAGAACGCAGCAACCTTGTTTGGTTGACCAAAAAGCGCATCTAGAGTTTCTCAATCAGCGTAGTTCGTACTTGAATAGCACTCGAACTACAGCGAAACTGCTTATTTTGCTTCCTTGGAGACGGAACTAATGAAACCAAAGATAACCCTTTAGACCGAAGGTGCTGCTTGTTTTAACAAGACTCCCATGAGGATCGATGCTTTTCAACGACTTAGACATGAGGGGGACTCGAACTGAGACGATCGCATAAAGAATGCAGAGGGTCCGATGGAGTTGACAACCTGAAATTTATGACATGATACACCACAGCTTCAGCCGGCGAGAGTCTTGCCTTCTTGTCCATTGCGTCTGCAGTTTTGTTCAACTAAATGAACCTGAAGAGGTTTTTGGCCCTTGTGAGGAAACACAACTTCAGTTTAAGCAAATAATGAATGCGACTGGACTCTTGGTTAACGATGGCCAAGTTATGCATATTCGACTCCGTTTCTTTAGCATTTTCTTAGCTTAATATAAAGCTTTTAGAGGTTAGGGCAGGGGAGCGGCTGCCGAAATAGCTTTTGTTCCGGGCTTATACAATCCATTTGCCATCACCAGGTATTCCTCCTGGACAACAAAACTGCTAAAGGATCGAAAAGGATTCCATGACTCATTTTTGACCAGTAGGCTAGACAAGTGCTGAAATGAAAGTGAGGCTCTGTTGGGTAAAGGTCAGCCTGTGAGTGACTTGCGTGCAAGACTCCCAAGGAGCTTTAAGAGCGGTCCTTACTTAATTTTTTCGCTGACAACTTATTAAGGAGGCGGCGACCGCGGCCGCAATGAGCAAACTGCGGAAGACTCAGGAGCAGCTGGAAGAGGTTGAACTGCGCGCGACCATGGCCGAACGAAGGGCTAATCAACTGGCTTCCGCTAACGCCGCCGCCGCTGCTGCCGCCAATGTCAATGCCGAGACCGCCTCGCAGTACGGCACCCTGAAGGGCAGTTCCTATAACAGACTGCGTGCCGCCTCAGCGGTACGAGAGGGTTCCACTTTTAGCCTCGCCAGTAACGATACCTACTTCCCTTCGCGCAGAGCGCGACGTGCTGCCTTCCTACAGGACGCCAATGATCGAGAATCCGCTGTGAACGGCCTCGACCTTCCCTCATGTCAGTAACGCCGCTACCCAGCTTCCTATTTCCTCAGTCTTCAAGTTATCCCCTCCTCTCATCTTATCTCATTTTAGCCATCAATTGTAATTTCGTGCTGCACTGTTTTACAGGCCACTTAGGACCACACCGAGCACATCACGCTCTGTCTTGTTACGACGATAGAACCGTTGTCGCAAGATTTTATTCCCTGATGCAGTTTGGCTTCACAGAAAGCAGTCTTAACATCGCTTAGTTTTCTTTCAAATACACAGACACGCACGCCTACATATAGACATACTTAAGCACTGTCTTCGCATAATCGGCTGAAACTGTGTGACCACGCAGTCATCTTCGGACGTCATAAACTCAAGTATATTTGTTCCGAGTCACTCCAACTTCCGCAACGGCACGCAGACCAAATGCCGACAGCCCAGGATGAGGGCAGTCTATGCCATGGCTTCTGTAGAAGCGGCTGTTGTATGGATAAACGGCGTCCGTTAACCCTGTGCTCTACTACTGATTTTATGTAATACTTGCTTTGATTACTTATACTAAAAAGGAAGTAAGACATGTAACGCAGTGAATAAAAACTAAGCAATTCGAAAATACTCTTTTTGTCAAAAAGGCCTTTTCCCTTTTTTCCGTCCCCCATCACTGGAATGGAATAGAAGAAATGATGCAACTGAAACAAATAGCAATTACAACAGTAAAAGATGTCGCTATCAAGGATGCAGTAAGTGCCTGTTCCCGAAATTCACAAGGAGAAGGGAGGGATGAGAGTCGAGCTCTGAGTGAAGAATTTAGAGAAGGTTGTGGTACATTCAGGGCGGTGCCATGATCCGAATACCCCATAGTTTATCTGGGCACAAGACCTCGTGGTTTGGGGAAGTCGTCAGTGTTGACGCTATTGGGCGGAGGCTGCGATCTACAAAAGTCGAAGCAAATGTTCAGCGTTAAAGACGACATCACATGAGGCGAAAACTCCAGGAAATTGGGTATGGATAGATAAGTAGCATGTCTGACTCCCTAAGCAGGCTTTTTGTCCTCAAGTAATTCAGACCCAACAGGGGCAAAGTGACATGCCTGGAGAGAACTGAATTTCGAACATCAAAAAATTACGCTCTGCTGCGCAGTAGGCTGGAACGGCACGTTGTCTGGGAATTTTCTGTAAGATAGGCTACGTTCTACCGCCAAAGACCTCATAGTATTTCGTATGTCCACAAGCCAGAATGTTTCCTAATTGAGTACAGACAGGGTTTGATATCCGAAACAAAGTGCTGCATAACAAAATTGCCCGGAGGACGGGTAGGTCAGTCTTCATGGTTCAAACCAAGCCATGGCAACGCCGGGTGAAACCGACGCCCTCTTATGCAACGCGATCGGCGGCAACCTCTTAAAAAGTAAGCCCAACGGAAACTGCTTTCTAGAGAAGATCTGCAGGAGTTGGTGCCCAGTGGCACACAAAGGCGTAAAGAAAAATCTAATGATAACTAGCACAACCTATAAAGATGCTCCATTAAATCTCAGTTAGAATGTGGTTTATATGATTAGGAAAGCAGGAGAGAAGGAGGGAAAAAGGAAGCTTGTGTTCAGTGTGATAGTCATCGTCATCACATACTTAACAGCTGACAATTATCCTTCTACGTTTCGCTGGTTGGAGTAGTAATTTCTCGTTTCTAAATATGTGTTCATTCTTAAACCTGCTAACCTGGCAAGTGAATAAGCAGAAGATCTCGAGGACGTAGGCATCCCCCAATAGCGAAATGTCATACGTGTTACCAGGTCGACACACTTTTCTTTACGCACAGGTCGAATTGAACCTTACGTTTAATTAAAGAGTTGATCTGGATTTATGAGAAGCAGTCTCCAAGAGACAGCTAAGCAGACTCTTAACGGCGTAGGTCTCATGCAAAGGAAGTCCTGTTCCCCCACTGGTTTCGTCTGGAAAAAGGTTAGACGATTGTTAATGCAAGCCCAAAGAAGTATGCAGCCTCGCTGATAACAGAAAAGTTTGCATTAAATTAAAGATAAGAACTTAAAATGTTCGGGTCTATCATCCCCTCAGGAAACACATGCCAAGAAGCTCAGCTTCTCTGTAAACAGATTGTCCAACATCTAATTAGATAGACAGTGGAGACTTACTGAGCAAATTATAGAGGAGTTAATTATGGAGGACAAGGAAAAGGGGAAGCGAAAAACCCGGACTCGAAAACGCTCATCTTTTCAGGATTTTTAGACAAAACTGGGAACAACCGATATCCTCTTTCCTACTTGTGCTGGCGACTTTCACCACCCAGGCTAACCCGCATTCTCCTAATCTACAATTAACTGAAAAGGCTTTGGTATTTTGTAGACTTCTGTGTTGCTTCAATAAGTCAAACAGCGAGAAGTGCTGTTTTAGGTAATAGCAGCTTACGCCCAATATTCCTTTCGTGTGGAATTCGTGTCACAGAGAGGTCTTGGACTAAAATTCGACCTGAGTTCCTGAGTAGCATTCAGTGCAGGTAAAAGGATGGTGGGAAACCCCTTATGAGCGAGCAACTAGTACGTTTCTGCTCAGTGGTCTCATGGCCATCAAACCTACTGGATCAAGAGGAAGGGTAGAATTACTGCTAAGCACGTCCAACCCATCTTTTACAGAAGTAATTGGAAATGGAAGAACACCCCAATGCGTAGCCTTGTGTGATTTTTTACTAGCCGGACTTGCATTGAACTCGGACTTTGATCGGAGAAGGGCAGGATGGACGGTAAAATTTATGTAAAATATTTCATTTATATTTTTCTCCTTAAAATCGGGCGAAAACGCATTGTGCTAGGACAGTTAAATGAACTGTCAACTGTACAAAAGCCTACTTCTAATCAGGATGCACTGTTTAGTCCAACCAAAAGGTGTAAAATCTCTTGCCTATCGTTTGACAAATGGCTATATCCTGTTAATCACTGTTAACTGATAGATATAGCGAGTACAGTTTTTCTGATCCAGATGAGCCAAACTTCAAACCTATTCTAGTGTGCCAGTTCGTGCTGCCCTTCCTTCAAATAGTTCGGAAATTTGGTAAAACTTGAGAAGGAGAGCCTCCAGGGCAGGCAGTTAGGTCTCCTCATCTCATAGACCCGTTACAGCTTGTTTGCAGCCCTAAGAGGCACAAAGGGTCCCTCTAAACTTCGTTCGGAAGCGATGTATGCGTGGTTTGTACACTGTAATGGCTCATTTTAGACCCGGTAGACAATAGCACACGACACTTTCAGTCAAACAGAAGGAGGTATACAACGCAAAGAGGACGATAGTTCGTCATTTAGTAGGATCTATCTAGCCATAAAAATGAAACAATTTATTGATAGAAAAAATATTATTTGTTTACCCTCAACCAACAGAGAATATCTTCTTTGCTACTGTTATACTGACCAGGTAAGAGTAGTAACACAGGAACAGAAGATTTTAGGCCAAAATCGAAGTACTGTTTGACGAGTTAAGGGATATTTTAGATATCATTTTGAAATGTCACAAAACAATGGAACCTTGGCAAATGCCTAATAAGGTAGTTAAACTATCTAAGTACCTGACAGCTAAAATGTTGTAGAAAATTAAGTTTCTCGCTAAGCAAAACTTCTTTCGAAATTCAACCGCTTCTCTGGTCTGTCTAGAATTTTCCGGACAAGTTTGATAGATTATTTCTGAATGTGCTCAGAGCAACAAGCCCACTACGTCGCATTTACTGTCTATTCAAATAATACCGACATGCAAGGCTTTACTTACACGCAAAATAAAGATGGATAGCAAAACGTATGCGAACTCACTTCTTGTTCTTTCGCTTTTTCGAGGCCGACTTCACCTTGAAGACGGAGGGGCTACATTATGAAACAAACTTTGTTAAGCACGACATTAACATTCGTACTCTAAATATACTAAAGCATTTTGTGTGACGGTCATTAATGGGGCCATGGGACATGCTCGTCTTGCTGTGCCTTGTAACATAGTCTAGAGCCATCGCAGGCAGTTGCATGGTGGCTTTAGCATATACTGATAACGGAGTACCGACAAAAGCAAGGATGACCGGAGTGGGCGCCTTTGATTTACCAACCCTCGTCATCCAGCTATTCTCAACCTGTAGTTTAAATCACTGTATCTTCGAACCTGGACTCCTTGGTCACTGAGTGTAGAGCTCTATCGTTGGGCAAATACCCAGAGTTCGAATCCCAGGTGATCCACACCTGCGGTTGGGTGTGACTGCCGGGTGTCCACTAAAGAGGCCAAAAATGGCCATTCTGATCCGCCTTGACTCTGTCAGTATTCCATTATCGGTATATACTAACGAAGGCTACGTCACAGTGAGCACGATTTAAACGAAACTTTTGGTATAACCGATGAGAAAACGAGATTTCGTCGTCTATTCTGTTGGTATCCGTTATGCAAACCAAAAGATCGAGAACTGCTTCGATGGTAACCGACTCAGATCTTAATTGACACGATAGTATTTACCTACTCACCGCCTAACCGCACAGTATTTTAAGCATTATTATTACTACGACTTAAAACTGCGGTAATTTATTCTGAATTTAACGTAAGCTCCGAAAAAAACGCTTCTTATGTCTGCATACATGTAAATTCTGATGCCGTAAGTTGTCAAAAAAACGCAAAGACGGCAATTCGGTCAAGATAAACGAAAATTGCATTAATTACGTTCTGATGGTATTATGTATGTGCGCTCACAAAGGTCTTGAAGGAGACACGATCGCTGGGACAAGCTCTGATAAAATCAGTCTGCCACGGGTAGGAGCTGACGTAAGATCACGTTAACACAGAATCCATTTTTCACTACACCAAAACCATCTATTCCTTTCTTAAGGTACAGCAAAATCCTACAGTAAATGGATCACGGCTTTTAGGGTCCAGTGTAGGATTGTACATGACGGACGATGAACGCTGACGTGACTTTAGTTAAATTTTCTATTCAAAGGGGTGACGGAAGCAAACTCAGGCTTTGATTTCATTTCAGGCGGTAAAATAATCTAAGGTTGAGCCTAATGCAGCAAAACAACTGAACCCCTTCGTGTAAAGCGTAGGAAAATGTTATAAGCCGAGGGGGCTGAGGAAGAAATCCGAATGTATCTGAACCTAACATATTGTGCGTATACTAAAACGTTATTGGTAGCAAACATCTGACCAAAAAAGGCCCAAAAAACGTAAAAAAATTGTACGAATTACGGAAACCGAGTAGCTAAGCGGTTCGGGCATATCATTAAACATGTCATTGCTATATAGTGCAACCCAGAAGCAACCGCTCAAGAAATGTTCTACGTATTTCTGCAAAAGAATGAGGGATTCGAAGGTAGTAATAATACAGTTCTACTTTATGCCCACCCAATCTTGTAACTTAAGTCCAGCTGATAAGGCCTACTTTGAAAAGGCCTACTTTGAAAAGCAGTAAGACTCCGACAGATGATTTATATGTTTTGTGAAAATTATAACCATTCAAATTACTTGCGATCATTTACAAAATTAGGTATAATAAAACCATCACGAGTTTCTTTCGAGTTATATGTTGTAGGACAATAACCTTAGTTCAGTTTTTCAGCTGGTGTAGATGATTGTTAATTAACATATAGCATAATAAAAATGGGTATTTAGATGTTGTAGAAGGAACGCACGAAAATTTGAAGAACTGAAATAAGTTAGGGTTACGGTAGTGGTAATAGTGTCCCAGGACTTTTACTGCACTGCATACAGTAGGAGAAAACAGTCCCTAAGCACTTATTTTAGTCCAAAAGATAGTTTTTGATAGAACTTACTACTTGAACGAGCTTATGGAACGGGTCAGAAGCCAACGTGATCGCAAGAAATCTCATAAGTTACAGTATGCTGATTAACGTCTGACCATTTTTGCGGCCATTCCCATTGTTTCGGCGGCTACATTAACTGAGTTACGGTTAATAAGAGTCGAAGACAACTCAATTCCTTAAGCTAAACTGAATATCCCACTTGAAGGAAATCTGTTTTTGCCCCTCAAAAAATATTTAAAATTTTGGGCATTTTCAGCTGCGCATGCGTCAACGTGATTCTTGAGAAATACGTGACCCACACCTACAAAATCCTTCGTGCACCAGCAACCTTCCTCAAAACGGCAAACGCGACATTTAATTTGGTTTTTTAAAAATTTGACGACATATAATTTTAAAATCCTTAAGTCTTCTGTGACAGTCGACTGGGTTTAAAATGGCACGTGAATAAGCGGGCATTTAAAAACCGCAAGGCCCATTTTTTTCAGTGCGTCATTGCAAGAAGTTGTTTCCCGCAAGATTTCACAATAAATGTCATCTTCAAATAACTCCATCGAAATATCCCGAAACCTGCACTTGTCCTAGTCATTGGTGGATAAGAGCGTCTATTACTTAAGCGACGGTGGGATTTTTACGGATAGCCGAGAGAATTCTCGTTCAAAAGTCAGTATATTGGTGGACTTAAGGATTGTGTGTGTACGTCACGTCACGTATTAGCAAGCCATGGCCCTTGCGGCCTGGTATGTGCCAGCAGTACTCCGACACCCGCTTTCCTTCCATTGGATGCGTTTGCACTCCTGCTGAGCATAGAGGTCGCGTTCCTGGTTGCGCAGTGATTTGGGTCATCCTTCTCTTTCTGACCTGGCTTGGAAGGCTGTCAACTGACGGATCACTCTGACCTCGTAGTCGGCCCAGCATATGCGTCTACGTTGAATGGTTGACTGGTGGTCTGAGAGTCTGGCTGCAATGGCGCCTTCATAATGCGGCATCTATGGCATTCCTCCTCCGTGGGATCTGAGCCGGGTATGGCGGCATGCCTAGGGGCGGCCTCGGCGCGCCAGATGTCGCTCTCTGTTTTGTTTGAATCTGAATCCTGGTCAGTGAGTATTGTGGAACATGGCTGTTGCTACAGGCCCGTTGCCGGCTTTCGCTGTATCAGTTTGGGTTTTGAGCAGTCTCCCCCTTTTCTTTTCTTGGTGTATGAAATTTTGATCAGTGCGTGCTGGGGACCAGAGGAATGGTGGTACGCCTAAGCGTGGGTTCATTCCCCATGCCATCTACCTGTGCCCTCTCCCACTCTCGGTCTTCTCGACGATGTCTTTACATCGGGCTCAGGTGAGGGATGAGATAGTGCGATAGATGTTGCTAAAGTCTGCCCTCCCTCTAAGCTAGTTCATACGCAAGTCACTGTGTTTGTTTTCAGTCTGTTGTGGAGCACACGGTGGGCATTGTCGGTCACGATGGTCAAGATGCCATACTGATGGGCATTACATGCCTGCATGTGCAATTACCTCACTAAACAACTATTTTCCAATCAAGGCAACTGTTCACAATTGCCTTCAGTGTCTTTAAACCTTTGTTACCGGCTGGATACCGGACGTTGTCGCTAGGTGTTTGACAAGAGGTCGCCCAAGTCAACTTTGAGAATTAATTCACATTTCAGCTCGATTATAAGCTAGAAGATTATTCGGCTGAGCAGTCACTGCGCGAATTTGAAATCGGTCATCCGAACACAGCTTGTCATTTACACCTTCATCATGAAAGAAATTTACTTTGTCGGAAATCGGAATTTATTTTAAGCAAGCTTACGATGTCATATTCTGTGCTCTCAGGCATTTGACAGCAGCCTGTGTATTGTCTTTTCTGAACCAAAGTTAACTCTTCAGTGCAAGCTAAAAAGCTAATATTTCAGAGGAATACATTGACATTGGAGAGCTTGCTTCAGCCCAATGAAGTCGCAGGGAAAATTACACCAACTCTGCTTAAATTTGAATCGTTATTTTTATATGCATATGTTCGAGGACATAGGATCAAAGAAGTTTATATAAAAGCCAAATAGTTCGTCTAAGGCATATTAGACAAAAAATGCCACAAGCCTGTCTGGTGTAAAAAAGGTATTGTTGTCGACCTTCGACTAGGGACTACTTAAAAGAAGTCTTCAAACTGCACTGATAAGACTGATATTTTACGCACAAAAGGTGATGTTTTCTATAAACTCAGGTTTTATTGTTTAAGGGGATACACCATCTTTTTTATGAGAGTAGTAACTGCGTACGAATTTTAGGCGTCATTTAGACCAAAATTATAGCCGGCGACCGATTTCATGAAATGTTGCTCGAAATTCTGAAATGTGCTTTCAATTAGGAAAGATTACGCAGGTGGTGTTGCCATATTATTATCGCACGGCATAATCCCGTAATATTTCGGACCTGCCAGAATTTTGGTTTTGGAGTGCACTTCTTTGCGATCTCCTGTAAATCTGTACTCGACAAGAAATGAATATTTACGTAGTATGCATTTTTTCACACTGATTTTAACGACCATGTAAATTCAAATTTATTTTATAGAAAATCTCCATGAAAATATTATTTTTCCAATCATTTGGTATCAAATCACGTCGTCTTTACATTTCTCACTCCAAGAAAGCCCCTATTTAAGTCTTGAAAAGTTTACCGATTCCCATTAAATTTCGAGCCAGATCAGCCGTTTCCCTAGCGTTTAGCGACTTTAGCCTGCAAGGTATATGCTTTCTGCGTAAGGGAAATCATATCTACCTCTATGCCTTTAAGAAGATTCAATGTAGAGTACGTAAAACTTTGTAACGGATGCGCTCCTTGAGGAGCATTAATAAAGTTACAGCTATGGTGCTGCATAGATGGAAGTTGCGCGATCTTAAAGAATCTCATAAATTTAAACTTTTTAAAACCGACAGGTACGCTTTCGTCGAATATAAAGTGTGGAGAGGACGTGATGTGCTACTAAGTGAATTAGACAAAATATATTTCCATGCATTTTTTCTGTAAAATATATTGCACTTTTTAAAGTCGCCAAAAATCAATTGTTAGCACGCATACTAAGTAAGCGGTCAGCTTTTAGAAAGTGTGGTTTTTACAGACGGTCAAAAAGGGATGCATTCAAAAGTCAACATCCTGAAGAGTCCGAAATATCGTAGGATTATGCTGTAAATTAATCAATATTCCAACCCCACCTAAGTAATCCTTCCAAATCGAAAACACATTTCAGAATTTTGGCCAACATTTCATGAGATCTTTCACCCATCGTAACTTTCTCGACCTTACCATAATTCAGAAACATTTATTTGGACATTTCAGCAAATGTCTACAATTTCATTCACGCTGGACACTTCACAAATGTTACCCTTGAAAAAAGCAATTTGGCAATAACCTGCTTTTCGAGACCGAGCCAGCTTGAAGACCCCGAATATTCATTTACCTGCATACAATTCACCATAGATCAAGTCAAATCACGAAGTCATCCTCTCGGACAACCGCCGGCCCCTGTACTTTTGCGGTGAATTTAAAAGAGTCTCAAGCATACTAACTCCGAACATTGATCTGTCTGGGAGTAATATTATTCAACCATATTGCAGAGTCCAAGCGAGTAAAACATTTTCGGTTTGAGGACGATAGTTTCGTCCCTTAACCTTTTCGAGACGCGGTTTTAATTCAAGGAGAACGCGGGTGGCACCCCTGCCTCGAAATGTAACTCAGAAAGCGGAGCGCCATTCCTAAAAATACTTAACTTATGTTCTGATTTTAATTAAATGCACTTTCTCTGTGTGGCCATCTTCTAGTTTCGTAAGACCAACTTAAATGTTGAGATCTTATTCAAAGATGCATTAATGCAAGAGGCTGCGCATTAAACACGTTCGCACATAAGGAAATGTAGATGGAAGCAGCAGCGAAAAATGAACAAACAGAACACTTCAACAAACCTTCCATCGAGTTCGAGGGCTTCCTCATCCTGCAAAGCTGCCTCCAGGGCAGCGATAACCTGGGGAGCCAGTTGGGGAGGTTCGTACTCCATGGTTGTTCGGCAGGGCAGATCAAGGTCTAGGCTGAGGATGTTTTCACCCCGGTACCTAGGGTTGCCTCGCATTCTGCTGGCCAGGAGCGCATACCGACATGTAGGCCTTCGAGTGCCCAAAGCCGATTTGAGGCAAAGGCTTGTAGCAGAATTCCTGAAACGTTTCAAAGAGCTTTCCGTCAAAGAAAATTGGCAGTGCAAGGGGGAGCTCGGAAATGAGAAATATACTGCTAAGGCGTAAAGTGCCCATAAAACACTAACTAGTGTTCCCCAAAATATACTGGCAAATCGTTTGGTTTTTGCAGTCACTTTCAAACAGCCCTTACCTCCCGGATATTGACGTTAGGAACGATGAAACAGTTCGGTATTGCCGGGTTGATATATTTCGGAATGATCCCTCTGTTTTCAATGAACATCACAAAAATGATCGAAATATATTCTACTTTATTTAAGGGTCGCTATGGGTGACCGAAAGTTTGCTAACCTAAAACCTACCAGTCTACGAAGATGAATGATACAAATTAATTGGTCGAAGTATTTCGTACGTTAGCCCCTTGCACCATATCCTATGCCGATACAGCCAAAACTGTCATGGAGACCAAAAACTGTGACTTTTCTTGTGAAGAAAAAATTTTAAACACAACATTTTTGTGTGGACCGACGTTCAATATGGGCGAATTTATTAACGCTTCTTTTCTTCAGAGCAGGCAGTTTGCATTGAAAGAGCGTCTTGTCAAAAGAAGAATCCGAAAAGAACGTCATCACTGATCAGTCCAATTTGTTTTTACGTTTTTTAAAAATCATCAAATGCTGACCGAGACGCGTCACGGATGGCCGCTCTAAGTTGAAAACAAAGAATTCCGTCTCCTTTAGACCATATGAAACAACAGCATTAGTTTGAAATGTTTTTTTCAGGAATCGAAGGGAGGTGAAGCGCTGAAGTCGTATGAGCAAGATCTTATGCCCAGACTCCACAGTCAAACTGAGTAAACAATTCGTTGGAAACTCAAGACGCAATTGGAAAAGACGTGTTTAATGCTACCTTAATCACTGAAAGACGTTCATTAGCCAACCGATAACCTGCTCATATCTAACCGACATTTACTGTGATTATTACATTTACCTAGTCGAGTCCGTATGAAAAAAAATATAATATTCGGTAGAGGTGACATGAGACCAGAGTCCATGTCGATTTACCGAAGATTTCGGCATACATTCTCCCAAAACTGTTCGCAGTTTTCCGTTCAACTTCCGTCATACTTAGTTTACGTGGATGTTACTTATTATACTCTGACAATAACTGGCAATGGTCAGGGTTATTTAAGGCAATGATGAAGGACAAACTGGGGGACACATAGGTGAAGGATGAGACGAAAAGAAAAGGAAATATGGTTAGGGAAGAGATGACAGACACATGGAAATGTAACTTGAAACTATTCAGATGAAGCGCATTTAAGGCCGAAATGCTTCCTCTTTTGAGATATCTGACAGTGACAATAAAGTGATATCCATGAAGATCAAATTATTCATGCAACACTGATGAGAAAACCGCATAAACAAGGCCATTGTGACATAAGTACACATATAGCCATTTAAATGGGTCCAAAACGGTAGTTAGGATGACTCAAATTCCCGCTAGTGAGAGTAAGCTCTATGGGGACAGATGCAACTTTCTACAGTTTTCGCTGCAGACACTTAAGTTTTTACCGTTCTCCTCAGCGAGGAAAGATGTGAAAATAAAGTAACCTACAAAAACATCACGAATGCAACACGGCGCCTAGACGAGAGAAGTACAAACAGATGTCAACTACATATTTTGGTCAGTCGATGCCTTGGGTTTAACTGCTAAATTCTTTCAAAAGGAATTTAGGAGCGTCATTCGACATCAGCCCCTAGCAGGTTGTGTGTTTTATTGCCGAAATGTCTACGGTGTTGTCTGGACACAAGTGCAATGGGATCTGAAATCTGAATTTACGTTATGCCACCTACATTCTCCTCTCCCGGTTAAAAAGTCGCACCGATTCGGCAAGGTTCGTCCATATCCGTTCTTTTTTCTCAGCCCAATGGTTTGGTATGCGATTCCCCTTTAAATTCCAATAAGAGTCATTAAATTGATATGAAAACTTTGTTGGCAGCTTCATGCTTCATGACGGCCACTGACAGGCAAATGCTCGTGGATCACTCATTAAAAGTGGGCTTCTTCCATTTGTGTGTAAAAAGAGTCTTTGTAACGTCTTCCGGTTACACACATACATACTTCACCTACTAAGAAAGGAAAACCTGTGAGCAAACTACATTCTCAGTCCTTGCCATTTTTACGCAGTAAGATCTGTGTAATGTACATTTTACGTTTCTTGTAACCTGCTAATAATTCGGGTTACTGAGTCGGTATTTTCGTGCGCCGAGGAACTAAAGCGGTTCATTGTGTTCCGAGGTGAGTGTTTGTCGATAAGGACATAGCGCTAAAGAAATGGTATCATCACAAAACATCCGTCTGTTGCTCCACTTGTGCTGTACTCCTCTTTGTTCACTCCCTACGCCGGTTTTGGGCGGCTCATTGACGAGAAGTGAGTGGATGCAGAGCGTTTTAGATTCAGACTCTAAGTGCGATGTAGTCAGTCGAGAAGTATCGACGAAAAAGCAGTGGGGATTGAAACAATCATTTCGGTCTATCGAGTCAAAGCCCATGCTGGGAGTCTTCATGGTTTGAAAGTGTGATCTGTTGAGAATTAAAGCGAGGCTCTGCCATTTGAGTCACGGATTTCTGTTCTGTTGACCGCCCTCGGTGTCCCTCCGAATCACATGACCGTGACATTCCTCAACTTATTCTGACTGCAAGGCTGACTGTGGACGATTCCATCTGGCCTTACAGCTTTATTCCACAGCCTTTGCAGACGGTCTTGTAGTTGGGACGGGCAATCAATAATCTGTAAGTGGCAACAACCTATCGATGAAATGGGTAATTTCTGGCTTACTTACCGTCGCTAACCAACAGCGCCCAGAGCCCAAAGTTGGTTCGTAACTTAAGAGGAAAACTTCTGAGCAAACGCCCTCTCATGCCCCTGAGTGCGAATTTTACGACAATAATCGGAGGATTGTTATCTGGAATTTTAAAACCTCCTTTATCATGTGCGACCGCACAAACTAACAAAATGTGAATTTTAGGTAGGAACCAGGACCTACAACATCTTTATCATCATCTAACTCGGAGCCTGACAGGTTGAAGAGAGAGAAAGAGACAGAAAGTACGCAAGGATAAAGAGGGACTGCAACAACTGCAAGCGGAAGGTACCGGTTTAAGTTCATCGAAAAGTTGATATATTTGGAAGAGAACGACGATGTGGGCCATGGCTTCCTCTGTTAAGTAGTGCGAGTATGTAAACAATCTCCTGTTAGCAGTGGGAGAGTATTTATTCGTCCCATTGGGGGTCATCAGTTCGTTTGTGCTTGAATTTTTACCCAGGGTATAAAAAATCCCAGATTGAAGCGTTCCTGAACGTCCGGGGGACCAGCTGTTGTCACCGCAAGTGCCTGGATCAGAAAGTGAATGACCTTCAAATCCGAAGGTGCAGGAGGCAGCAGGCCCAGACAGGTGAAGAGGTCCAAGGTTGAATCCATAATCACTTCACACACCATCCGCAACCTCTGCGGCCAACGTACGCACTTGCTGATAGGAAAGGTGAATTTTTTAGCGACGCAACAGTGGTTTTAAGCAATTTTCACGACGGATGGCAAGGTCACTTGTTTGTAGAATGGTGCGCAGAACCGCTATCGCGTGCGTAATGCACGAGAAAGCGCTGAGACACGCGAGCACGAACGCTAACGACGAGGACGGAAGCGGAATGGTCAACAGATAACTTCCTTGCGACGGCGGCATCGGGAACAGCAGCATTGACAGTCAAAAAGGGGGAGAGATACAAAACATATGGCGGCCAAAAATGAAGGAGGACGGGGGTAGTAGCTGTTGCCCCGGCCTGAATGGAACAAAATAGTAAAATATTTTGCGGGGCATGGTCCCAAAAATAACTACAGAAACTTCAGCGTATCAAGGACACCGGCAGAGGCGGTGGTGGCCTGTTAGATGTGGCCTCCTTTGCACTCGCAGAGGGGTCTTGGCTAAAATACTTGAATCACAACGGAGGTGCGTCCTACATTCTGTTTTCAAGTAGTCATCATCAATAGCAGAGCAAGTTACAATTAATGAACCGTTTTGGTTAGTCTCCTCACGTATCTACCGCCGTCCCAGCGAATTCATGAGTCCTTGTTGACCGTAAATTCAATTTTCTTTACTCCTAGGCAGTGCAAAACGAGACCCGATCAAGCTGCTTGTCAAGCTTCACTGCTAACATCCCGGTGTTTTCTGCAATTTCGTATGGTAGTTGGTATCCGGCGGCCGCCTCTATTTTTAAAGCCACTGCCGTTTTGATTCCGCCAATTTTGGGCCTCGTGAGATGGACGATGTTTGGCTGGGCTAAATTTAAAGAATCTTGTCTTTCGAACCCGAGGATGATTCTTTTGGTGAAGTTTTCCCAACTTGCCCCGAACAAAACAGTCCACACCCACTGCGGCAGCATCATTAGGTTTCCATGATTTATCCAAGTATGATTGTAGAAGTGCTTTTAGTACGCTCCACGTCACCCGACTCGTACATCCAGTTTAACTACTTGAAATCGAACGCTGCTGCCTCGGTGGAAGCAACCAAAAACAGTGCAGCTGAAAGCCTGGTCAGATAGACACTGTTAAGATAGGGAGATGGTGTTTGCAGCCCCAATATTTGGTTGAAGGATGAAGTGAATCGAGTTTACTAAAGTCATTACTGCGGATCGTTATGTGTGAAGATGCACTATGCGAGAAATCGCTGAGTTTGGATACAGCAGGCATGATATTAATCATCTCATGTATGCCATTACAACCTTAAGGAGGATCCTAACGTTGAAAGACAACTGCTGGGAATGCTATGATCACGTTTGGACGTATGTCGAGTTTTCCCTACATCATTGCCCAGCCATCCGTCGGATCAAGTCTGGACTCCTAAAAAATCGGAGAGATAAACACTTGCTCCTTTGACACACAAAGTAAACGTTACGGCAAAGCCGGGCAGGGGGAAAACGGGAAGAACTTACCGGCCTGACCGTATGTCGCTACTGTTGACAGCCCCATCCAGTGGGACCGCTACTGTGGGTAACAGACGCCATCGCTCTTCCTCCTCATCAAAAGTGGCACGTTTCTCCAAATTCTGACGCACTTCGGGTGGAACGAAATTCTCTAGGATGAGGTAACGCAACTTCAATTCTTGCGTTATCTGGTCTACGATTTTTTCATGCTCTTGGCGCTGGTGTATACTATCCTCCTGCACGTCTGCCATCTCCTGTTTTAAGGCCTAAATGGCGAAAGAAGAGGAGCACGTAAGGAACCTGCGTAATACAGCCAAGAGCAAATGTTTACAAAATATGAATGGTACTTTCTGGACAAGCTTCCTTAGACCACAGTCGTCGAGACGAAAATTACCTAAAATCTACCGAGAAAACGACAAGCGTTTGCATGTTTGAGTGTTTTTGCATTTAATAAGATAGAACGGAGTGTCAGAAACGCCTCAATAAAATTCTAAAAAACATCAATATGGCATACTAAATGATGCCTGCAGACTGAACGACAACATTATTCATTTGATTGTTTAGAGGGCTTGAGAATAATTTTCTTATCTTTGTTTTATGTCTCACGAGGGACTCGATCTTGTCCACTGTGATCTTTTGCAGGGTATCTGGCGACTGTTCCACTGTGCAAGTCGAACAAGTAGAAGTCCAGAAGTTCCCTTCTCCGTTAAAACTATTGTTTGACAAAGGTGTCTACTTTTCTTGCATGAGTAGGCAATGTTGTTTCCCATTATTTACATTTGCGGGAAACAAGAACATTTATCATGCGAACAAATAATGGAAAAGACACATTCTGCTTCTGAAAATCACCCCTTAAAAGAGAGCGAGAAGGGCATAACAGTGTGAGGAATTAAGCGTTCTTCCATGCCTTGGAATGTGAGCCGAACAAAAGTAAACGGTTATACTTCGGGATCTGGTCTGTTGTGTGATGGGTACACAAGATGCCACGAGATGAATAAATGATCTTATTCGCCTGACCTTTTGGATTCCATTCACACCAATCATCAGAGACGGCAACAGATTAGAGTTCTGAGCGCATAGGTGTTGCGGCCTGTATGAGATGCAGTTGCTAAGCAACCACATCGCAGATATTCGCTCTCGTGCGCCCGCTATCGTGACTTGTTTCCGTTTCTCATGACAGGTACGAGTGTTAATCTGAGACGTTATATGAATGAAATTCTTATTACAACGATCGAATTTCCTTCTTCCTAACTGCTTTCCGGAACTTAACCTTTCGCTGTGTTGGTCATGTTACGAGACACTCCATATAGAATGGTGTATGAGAGGCTGTATATTAGAATCGTTAGTGCGTGGGATTCCAGGCATAAACTAATTCAAGTAGTTATGACTTTCGTATCGCATCTAGCCCAGGATGTGTCTTATGTGGATTGCAAAGGCAAGCAGAGCACTGAAGATCTAAATTAGAGGTCACTACTAATAGAATACTAGGTTGTGCGACTGAATAGAGAGATACAGAGGCCAAACACTAGACCATTTGTACTTATGCAGGTTTCCTCAGTATTGACTTGAGAAATCTTTTTACGGTCTAAAAAAGACTAAAATATCAGGGACCAAGAGATAGTAGACTTTCGTTTACCTGTAGCTTCTCAAACGTTTTTTTCAATTTTGCCGTATAAACATCCACTTCCTGACGCAACGAAGTAAATGTTTCCTGCAGGTTTGCCAGATTATCACTCTCAGCTTCCATTCTGGCTCTGATCGCGCGTTCGTGCTTTTGCTGTGTAGCGAGTTTCTTTCGCTGAGCCTCTAGAGTGGCTTCCTGTTCTCTGGTGTGTTCCACGATAGACCGATCGCCGCACAGCAACTTTGACTCCAGACTGCGCAGTTTTTCTTCCAGCTTTTTGGTCTGGGCTTGCTCATCCTTGATAATCGCCTCTTTTGCCTAAAAAGCATGCATTACTTGACACTTCAGATGCTACGCTAGCTGGTCTAAAACGAAGTGTTCAATTTTTTAGCGAGGAGGCTGTTGGACATTTAGCAGTTGTGTCATTACCATAAACAATGCCTAACTTCTAAGTTGAAAAACAGCAGAAGATAAATCAAATAAATTTGGATGTTACCAAATTGGCTGGTAAATCTCTGCTTTGCTTGTATCCTCTAGTTGCACATGTCTCTTGTTTTTTGCTAATTTAATAACAACGTAACTGGGATCGGACCACGTCTATCAATATCTTCGTAAAAACAACTTTATATTCGTAACTTCATGCAAGATAGATGTTCAAGTGGGTCTGCGCTTCGATATAACTTACGTCGAAACTACGTAGCTTAAAATGAAAAATGTGTTTTCGCGTTTTAACGCTTTAAATTACACAATAATAATGATAGCTTGGGACGTCTGTCCAGAAAACCAGAACTGTTGCAGCCTAAGTTGTGCTGGCACCCTGAAATATTAAACATTTCCAAACCATTCATTTAGTTAGAACAGCGCCTACCTTCAAATCTTCGAGCAATCGAGTTTTCTCTTCTGCAACAATGTTTGTATTACTTAATATTCGTTCTTTTTCAGCAGAAAGTTTTTCTCGTTGTTCTCTGAGGTAGTTTTCTCTCAAGGCGCTGTCATCGTCTGCGTTATCGGCCGATACTTCCTCATCTACGGGTTCTGATGGCAAACGCGTGCAATACAGGGAAAGTAGTGATGAAAGTTCACAAAGATTGAGGTTCACACTTAAACAGAGCAAAAATGAAAGCCTCCATAAGAATCACTATTCACAACTCAAATGTAGGACCTCTTCCCGGGAATAGATAATACCATCATTTGAAAAATGTTAATTGTTTGTGACAAAAAGGTATGGCGGAAAGGGTGCTGAGCGCAATTGCCAAATACTGAGTCTGATAACTGCGATTGCACCACTTTCCATAATGTTGATATAGACGGGGTGAGCATGGTTGCTCAAGCTACAAAGAGCATTGTAATCGCTCTTATTATAACTTTGTTAGGGTGAAAATTCGAACAATGACGGCGTTGAACGGCTTTTGATATAACATTTTAGGGCACACGTAATACGCTCCCTTATGTAAGTTCATTCAAGCCACAGGTGTCATTTGATCACATGACTTTCATAGATGACTCTCTTACGGTGAAAGTGTCGGAAATAGACTTGAACAGACATAACGGAAAGTTCTAGAGTAAGCGTATGGCCAAAACATCAAAGGTTATTTCATTAATGAGGATGCAATTTCTTCTGGAATTTTCCTCGGTGTCAGCAAAACTGACAACTGAAATCGAAGCGTTAGCGCCTGACCACATTCTCCTGTATGAACTTAATGGTTAGATTTCCGAGACAACTGCGCAGACTGCTCTGGGTAGTTCGTAACTCAGGCAGGCGCAAACTTATACAGCGCCCCCGTTTTGAGGCAACTATATACGTTACTATTGAGGCAGTGCACAGAATGCTCATCCAGTTGTATCCAGCCCAGAAAACTAGCGGTTTCACTTTCGGATGTCGGCAAAGTTTCGGCAAAACTTCGGGGCCTGCTTATACATCAGCCGTGTCTTTAAAGACCCCCCTAGCATTGGTGAGTTTGCGTCTATGTCCAATGTGTGAGCGTCTCTTCCCCGTCTTTAACGGAATTTCAGAAGTGAAAGAGCGCAGGACGTATCGCTTCGAGCTTCCTTTAAAAACTTGAACAAATTCATACTGGGAACATATTTATGCGGATTCCTGCTAAAATAGACACAGCGGTGACGACCGAATGCAAATGCTGATTTATTCCTATCCTCGGCCATAACGGATTCTAACTCACATATTTTCTCATATGAACTGCGGTTGTTGAATTAGTATCTTTATTACACTTTTATTAAACATCTGGCCTCCCTTTTACGACCCTGGTCAAAACACCTGACCATGATCATACCAATGGTCAGTGATCGATCGGAGAGAAATGAAGTTTGTCATACTAAAAAAATTTAAAAGTTGGTTGTAGAGAACACGGAGCAGAATTTTCGTGATGTTCTTTTGGTGTGCGGGAAATTATATACTTTCATGAAAACCTTTGACGTTTGCTGATCACAGCTTAGCCGCATAGTACGAGAAATTGGTCGGCTTATGCTTATAAGGGACTTGTTGGCCGATGTTGTTACGGCCAGCCTACAAAAGGGGATCCGATAAAAACTCTGCCACCAAGGTACTTGTGTTCTTAGGCACGGAAAACTACCTGTTTCAGAGCTTTAATCGGGGTAACTGTGCCCTGCTTGGGGAGCAGCTCCATTCAACTGACTTCATAAACGATCATCATACAACAGACCGCATTTAAGAAGTCCTTCCACTTTGAAGCAGGTTGCGATACATCGCGACTTTCAGACTTTAACCCGAGGATTCCTTACTATATGGTTTAAACAGTAAACAATCGCAGAAGTAGTAACGACTCTAGCTTGGTCTTTGTTGGAAAAAGAGCTTGTCCTTTGGAGTCAGGAGCCCACAGAACTCGACAACTGCGCCACATATGGGGCACCTGATGTCCAACGATCAATTTGTTTTGGTGAAGGTCCGTGCTGCGGCACACAGATCGGCGAGGAAGAGTCAGGTGACTAATATATCCGTTGTCTTTTTGCCTGGGTTTTAAACCGAAATACTCACGTCTCGTTAAAATTACGCCCCACATCTGCATGCCGATTTTTGATTTCTATTCTACTGGCCGCACAGCGGCATTCTGGGATGACGTTGTTCAGCATCATTCTAAGAGTACCTCATATTTCTTGCATCAGGAAAATCCCGAAGAAGCATGATGAGGCTGAGAACATAACTAATTCAAATTCCTGATAACCAAAAAAGCTAATCAACGTTGGGAGCCTCATAAAGTTTGGAAACAATATCTCTAAGGGATAATATACAGTAGGTGGGCTAATTCATGAAATGTCAACTGAAATTCCGAAATGCGTTTCCGTCTCAAAAAGATTAAGTAAGTAGGGTTGTAAAACTAGCCGGCCTGCAACATAAGTCTATAATACTTCAGTTACCTCAGGATGCCGGTTTTTGGGCGAACTTCCAGCTGCGTGCGTGAACTATATTCTGACTACGTAATAAGCATGCATTTTTCGCATTAAGTTTCGATGCCTTTAAGAATTTTATTGTATTTCATGGAAAATATGCATAAAAATATTCATTCTTTTGCTCATCTGGTAGAAATTGACGACCTTGTCCAATTTTATAACTGAAAGAGGGGTGTAATTCGGTTTTTAAGAAGTTTCTAATAGTGAGATTTTTAATACCCCGAAATGGCTGTTCATAAGATTTTGTCTCTCTACTTACCAATATGGCATGTTAAAGGCACAATATGGCCCAAATCCACTGCAACACTTGGTGAACTCCATATATTTTTTTCTTCATACCGTAGATAAATATATGACTTTCCGTACGCGGTAAATATATGGCTTGTAGCTCGGAAACCCTGAATGCAAGTGTAACGGCAGGTCGAGTTCAAAATTATTCGGGAATTGGAAAAGTATTTTAAACCGAATTATATCCTTCTTTCGGTTATAAAATTGGACCAGGACGTCAATTTCTACCGGATGAGCAAAAGAATGAATATTTTATGCATGAGTTCCATAAAATACAATAAAATTCTTAAAGGCATCGAAACTTAATGGGAAAAATTCATGCTTCTTACGTAGTCAGAATATAGTTCTTGCACGCAGCTGGAAGTTCGCCCAAAAACCGGCATCCTGAAGTAACTGAATCCTTACGCTGCAAAATAATTAGTTTTACATCCTCCTTAATTAGTCTTTTCGAAACGAAAACGCATTTCGGAAATTTAGTGACATTTCTTGAGTTAACCCACCTACTGTAGCTCGGAAATTGTCTGGGATTTATAGGATTCAAGAGTCCGACTAGAGATGCATTTGCTGAAAAAACAATTGTTCGTGTCTCCCTCAATCATAGTGTCAGAGACGACAGTAAGTTTGGACACTCCAGTACCGAGCTGTCAGAATAATCTAACAATTGACTGTTTTTGAGTACTATAATGACGCTCTAACTGATAAACCGCCATCAGCAAGAATAGTGGAACACTTTGGCGCCTACACTCTCTATGAAAGTTTTTATAATCCGTCTGCCCCAGTAACTTGCATCATCAGCATCTATGTATTTAAAAATAAGCATATACCAAAACGAACCCTCGTCACTTTCACTCGTGGGCGATTTTCTGCGTTGAAGTGAGCGTTGAACAGTCTGTGGCTTTGACCGAAGCAGTTCCTTTAGTCTTTCAATTTCACCCTGATATTCTCGTAGCAAGGCATCCTTGGGATCTTCATTAATTTTCGGTGTGTTTTTGATGTTCTTGGCCCGACTTGCATACCTCAGTGTGTTAATTGTCTCTTCATAGTTGTAAGACGCTGGCCCAATGTTAGCTATCATTACAGTCTTCGAATTGCCTCCCAAGGAGTCTGCCACAGTCCAGAGAAGCAAAAACACAAGTCAGACATGAAGCTTGGGAAGAAAAACAATGCCGCAGATATTTTCTCCTCTTTTAAAAGAGCGTCAGGAGGACGTTTGTTAGTTTGATGAGTTGAATAAGCGCATGCATGGAAGGTACTTTGAGAGAGATCTCATAAAGTGCGCCAACATCGTGGGGGGAGGTTTTTGAAATGCAATAGAATTTTTCACTGGGTAGTCCCGACCGGTCCCTTTTGAGCTTACTTTCTTCGCAGTGGAAACATAACACAAAACATCCCAATTCGACTTATATCCCTTCATTCTTGGACTTTGCTTCATCCGTATGAGGTCTATGTTAACCTACACCCGCTTAGGAAATAGATGGTTTCGGAGTCATTTATTAGGGAGGAACTACTCAGTATGTAGATGCTTTACGCTTGTTCACCTATTCAAAGGTTCTCGTTTTTCAGTTCATACCTAGTTTTTCCTCCGGCAGTGAATTCAAACTCCCAACCTCGTAACCATAAACCAACGCCTAGAGCCTTTTTTCTGGCTTGCATATTTAGGCGATCACAAAAGGAAGTAAGTTACTTGGTGGAGGCTCCCGCTAAACATTCCTTTGAACCTGCGGATCAGTCTGCGTAGTAAAAGAGCAACAAAGTTTTTACCAATGTACGTCATACGTCATACCTACCATATGTTTTGCAATATAAACAGAGTTAATTTGTACATAACAATTGCAACCCCAAGAGTATTAAAGAGAGCATATACTGGTAAGATTGTCAATCCTCGTATTTACTCCGCCTACAGAAAAAGGCTATAGGTATCTCCTTCTGTCGATGTTTTATCGACAGGTTGTTGAAACGGCGTGAGGATGGCCGAGTGGGAAAAAAAGTAGACTAAAAGCCACGTAGAAAATACGAAATTCGACCTTTCTATAGCCTATAACAATGGCTATACATCGGCTGTAACAAACTACGAGGCTACCAACAGCAGCTCAAAGTTGTGCAACGGGCGACTTAGTTAGTACAAAGACGTCCATAACTTAGAAACAGCGAATTTACGAAAGACTATTCTGTCATCATCATTCCGGACTGTTTCGTCGCAGTTCATCTTCCATAAGTGCACGCTTCTTGTCCTAGATTACCTAATAGTGGGTACCGTGGATTTTTTGCTAGTCTACCGAATTCTTATATTTGCGCCTCGATGCTGAGGATCAGGATGATGGTGTTGCCAATATCCCCCGTCGGCAACCAATATTACAGTTGGTAAGATCCATAAGCACAGTTTACCTTGAAGGAGTCTTGTCAGCTTGGAATCTCGGTAAGGAACATGTGTGCTTTTTTTATCGACAAGCGCAGATATAACGTTCCCCAGGGTTGACAGACTAAGATTTATCCTCGTCGCCTCCTTTAGCCGCTCGCCCTAGATGTGGTGTCAAGTTCAGGTAAAGGAAGTTAAAGACTTACTTCGGATTGAGTCTTCGACTGACGTTCACTTCCAGCCAAATCTACAAGGTTCAATTTTCCCACGCGGATGTGGTTCTTGCCATCTAATCCCAGCTGTTGGTAAGGAGTAAATATAAAAAACGGACTCGGACAACTCACTTCACAGCACTCGATGGTGATAATGAAGATAGCGTGAGAGCGAGAACTGTGTTCATTCATGTTCGTGGCTCTAATAAATGAATTTTTAATGGAAAGGTTTGATTACGCTTACCCAACGGATCTGTTGGCGTAGCCTATATTCATGACTTTTTCGATCTCTCGAATATTCTTCGTTAGAACCGTCGAAAGATCCTACAAAAGGGTCATATGAATTTTTGTAGTCCTTTTTTACTATGTTTTTAGGAAATAAAACGAAAGTAAATCTGGACGGGTGCTTATTTTCCACCACTAATTTGACACATCGCGCCTATAAATTCAAATAATTGGTTTTAGAATAATATTGAATTCGGCAGACCATCACAAAAGTTCATTTTGTTTATAAGCTACTTTTATATGTTTGTTTAACTAGGCAAGTTGCCAGTCAAAATTACCTTTTTAATCAATAAAGTTTTTATATACATTTTGACTACTGGTACATAGTCCTAACCACGTCCCTTCACGAAAATTGGCAATTATGGGCGGACGTCCATATGCTCAATACATTTTCGCCCTTCGACAAAAATGTACATGCCGTACGCAATGCCGAAATCCTGGCCCGATTTGTCATGGTTATCGGCAAGACGTCATAAAAAGCTGCGGCGCATACAGAGGACAGGGCTGTCATTCAATGAGTTAGTGAGAAGGGGACGCGCAACCTAATGACTGCTACATTTTTTGACTTGCATCTGTCATTAGGACATTTTGTAACTTGATCTCTCTCATTTTCTGAAGAATGCCACGTTGACCCTAACGCAGTTCATTTGGAAATCAGTTTTGTTAAAGTAATTAGAAGGAAAAAAAACGAATCAATCAGGCCTCATTTGTATACATTAAAATGTCAGAAAAAAGCTGGTTGCATCAGTCTGCTGTGTATGTGTATATATTCTGCTGTGCACTCACGCTCTGTTTTCGATGGCGGGTCGCAGCTTTTCAGGAAGTAAGTGTAAGTATCTCAGAGCACTGGTCTAATAATTACTAAACATGACTTTATGGCCTTTCCCTCTGAATGAGGAATTCATATTTGGACATTAGTTTGCAGATGCGTTTCTGAACGCGAGTGCACTCAATTTCATTAAAGGCTGGACCATATATAGACGAACTTATGATTCTCGTCTGCCTGCGTGGGAGCTTTTCTGACGGTCATTTACAGATTGAATATTTGTTTATACAATGCAACACGTCTTCCCATTATATCACTAATAGAAGTTAACTTTCATAGTTCAGTAACGGTAGCACTTGCACAAGCCATAAAAGTAGTTGCAACTGATCCAGGAAAGTTACGTTATTCTCAGAATTAATTTTCAACCGCTAAGTTAGGACAAACTAGGCAGTTTTACGTAATAGTTAATTCAGACTTCGCGTTCGACTAGTTTATTAAGAACCAAATTCTTTAACAGTATATCCTACTGGCTCTAGAGAACGTTGATTCAAATTGATGAAATTTCTTCACTGATATGCATTTTAATGATATATAACAGCTTGTTTAACATTGAAAAACACAAATAATGTGGACGACTCAGGGCTGTCAAAAGGGTTAATTAAAAATTTGCAAATATAAGGCGGAAAGACTTCTAGTAATCCGTGTACTTTGTAACCTGTCCGATAGCTGAGTGCCTAACCTTGTGAACAAGGTAGGCTGCCTGTGTATTACTGCGAAAGTGGGTGTTTAGGATGGTTAAACTTTGCGTAAAACCAGCTAAAACCAAATTTCAGTCCTGGCTACACCCAATCCAAGAAATAAGTTTTAAAATTAGCATAAAATTAATCGGTACTTAGTACTTGACTGTGTTTAAGGGACTAAGTGCTTACTTACTTTGAAATCTGAACCGCTTTAAAGGCAACGTCCATCCCTGCTATTCCAGCACCAATTACCAAACGGACTGAAAAACGATCTGATTTTCACAAAAATTTTGGAAAGCGAAAGTAACACCCTTGGGGAGTTAAATCGATTTGATGGAGTGAAAACATACTCCCAATATTTTCTCCAAAAAAAGCAGAGCTTGCATTTCGTAATATTGGACACTACACTTAACTGTCTTTAACAAATACCAAGAAGATTTTGCACTCCAGTGTCCATTCTATGCAAACTAATGAATCCCCACTGATAAGGCGGTCAGTTCAAAAATATTTGATATGAATTATTTTTCTTATTATTTCGACAGCATTTTAAAGATTGTTGCTTGAAACCATGTCGTCCTATGTAAAATACAAACTAATGCTCATCCTCCAACCATACGAAGACCATCCGGACCGTATGTGCAACAAAGTGCTTCATTGTGCGCAAGGGAAAATCTGTCTAAGAACGAAATCACAGATACAAGTGAACTCGAAAATAGTTGAGGCAAGTGGCAATCAGACAAGGGGAAAATATGACAACTTAAGTCAGCAACTATGACTTTTTCCTAGAAAATTTTCTCTCTGAATTTTACACTCGACTACAAAACATGGACTCAGTTCATGAGAAAGATTGACGTAAATGTGAAAAATTACCGCGTATAGAACGCAATCATTGCGTAAATATGTTCCAACCCTACAGCGTTAAAAGGCCTGTCTCCCAAATGAACTACCGAAGCTTATTTGTCTCACTTAATTCCAGTTTTCCATTGAATTTGCTAAACTTAATGCCTGCATTCTACAATTCCGTTTTTCCTGCTAAACGACCACCCAGGTGAATAAAAAACCCATGAATACTTTTGAACAAAACAGTTACCCTGAACCGAGATGAAGTTTCAAAATAGGGGGTAAACTTAGACGACTACTGCGGGATATATGTCAATACTATACGTTTCAACTCTTTCCATGAGTATTACAATCAATCAAATTAAGCAATAAATAACCTAAAAGCTCCAAGCGGACTGGTTTTTAACACATTACAAATCATAAATAACGCTTGATTTTTATAAATATGGTACCTGATTAATGAGTGCATTAAAAAAGTACTTCAGCTCACTCTTGCCAGTTTGTTCGCAATAAAAACTGCAAAATAGAAAACTGAAATATTTGGCCAAGTATGTTGGACATCATAGGAATCGGAGGGCTGTTCTCTGTATCCATGATAAGGAGGAAGGATTTTAAAATGAAAATAATGTTCTTAAAGAACTCTAGGAATCTAAATTCTGACAAAAGGACACTTAGAAGCTCCAAAAGATCACGCAAGTTTTGAAAGGGCACTGTATATTCAGTATGTTACTAGCAGAAACTTTCTTATGATTCTCTAGAGAATATGAGAACAAGGGGCTAGTCCATCCCTATCAATCATTATAAAGATACATTATTTGTACGTTCTCAAGTTGTACGGTGAAATACTCTGAGTGGTAAGTTGTTTAATACATAGAGTTCAAAAGACCTGACGTTTTAAACCTCTTTTACGGGAACTATGTTACAGCGAAAATCGAGGAAAACTGCTCACAAATCACAGATTGTATACAATTAAGGTAAGATTGGGCCACGTGTTGGTAGAATTCTACCAACACGTGAGTATTAATACTCACACACCTTGACGTATATTCCCCTGTCCGGCTTTTCTTTAATTTCGAGACGTTTGCTGAAATCTTTTTGGAGTAGATCCCTTACTTCTTCCTTATAAATTTCCAAATAACTTGCACGCACAAGATACTGCGCATTTTTCGAATGCGCAATGTGATCGAAAATGTGCTCGAAAGAATTTGGGATGACTCCACGAAGTTCATGATCGTCCTTCACGCCTGACATGAAATTCACGGACAAAATAAGTACATTAACCTTGAATCGTAAACGTCTTTCCTGTCCCCGTCTGTCCGTATGCAAAAATCGTACCGTTAAATCCTTCAAGTACACTCTGAACTAAGTTTTTAAATGATTTTTCATAAAGCTCCCTTTGCTGAGAACTGCAGTAATAACATCGTAAACCGTTCAAACATACTCTGGCCCATAAACTGTATCAAAATTAAAAGAGCGGGAGGCTTCCTCGGGAGTCGCCTTAGGGTTTCTAACTTCGATAATCCCATCGGATTCCCTAACGCATACACAACTAGAGAAATTACAGCTGATGAACGCTAAATACCTTTTGTATCCTGCCTGGATTTCTTTAGCATCGAGGGGTCGGCAACGTACAATGACTTTGACGGTTTCATTCGCCGTCTGGTTGTCTTGCATAATAATGACTTATCGTTAAGAAATTGACAGTTTCGGCTAGAATACTACGAATTGTTTAATGTTTCCTCAAGGTCGTTGCGAACTCAATACTGAGTGTCATTTTCAAGATCCGCAGCTTACACATCATAGGAAAGGCAGACGTATTCCGTGCACTTACAAATACAGGGGTTCAGAAAATGAAGATGCGATCACCGGAACAAGTAATCAAATTAGGAGAAGAAATCAAATTAGGCATAGTGCTCTTATGGACAACTAGTAACGCTTCGAATTCTTTTGACCATACCACCTCCCATTCCGTTTTCAGTCTATTTAGGGATTTCTCGTAATTGTGGCGTAAACTTCTCAGTTATTAGAAGACAATCGATTCGATAAAAATAACGATGACAACACGTATCTTATCTTTAATATGTAGCTTCATTCATAAATGTTCAGCATCAATTAGTACCGGTGGCAAACCTGCAGGATTTACTTTAATACCCTGTTCCATATATCAAACCAGGAGATTGAATGTGTTGTTGAAGTAAAGCCAGGGACTTCACTTAGACGCTGACCCTTAGAGCTGCTAATGTGGTAAAGTGTCAGTGAGGATACCGATGCCTCTTCCACCATGAGTTGGCGACTCTCATCTCCGTAGCCATCGTAGTATCAGGCCGTTTAGTTTTCTCTAACACTGTCAGCATCCCCACGTTCCTCCCTCGCAGTTGTTTTCAGCGCTACACTTTTCACCAGTAACCTAATAGACGTGACATAGCGCTCATCACTCCAGATAAGACTGTGGCATGTGCAGGACTTCCTCTTTTTATTATGTACTGCACTTTTATTACATTGTTCAACGCGTATTCCCATTGCATAGTTTTTAGCCAAATTGACTACTTGTTCTCATAACTTCTCCATGTGTTCGTTCGGCGAGGTGCCTTCAATTTTGTTCAGTGTAAGGTCGAACAAGGAAATAAACGCAGAAGTTTGCCTACTCGGTGTGCGCCGACCTCGACGTCTTCGGCCACTACATTAGAGGTAGTGACTGAACATAACCGTAACCCATTTGTTTAAATAAGGAAGGACGAAACGATACCCTAATAGCAAAAATTGGCGTTTCGAGCTCGCAAATGTACGCGTTAGCGCCCCCTGCCGTATTTGCGATTTGATTGGTCGATACGTGCGTCCCGTTAGCACTGCCAGTGGCGCAGTCGACGGCGTGCACTGACGCATGAAAATCGATATCATCCGGTGCACCCGATGCTCGACCGGGTTCAGGCAGTCCCGGCGCGCCACTTCCTGCTCTGCTACCTTGCCGTGCGCACGCTCAGTTTGGCCTACATTGTTTTCGTGCTTTTTTGGCCCTGCCCTCTAACTGTTTTTCTTTTTTTGTGTCTATTATGTTTAAAGGTGAAAGCAGCCGCACCCGTCGACGTCACGTACGACGGAAAGCAACAGAAATCATAAGAAATATTACCGAAAAGGTGAGGAGAATGGTTCCGTCGGACACATCGTCGTCGTTCACGTCGTCTGACAGCTCGACGACATCTACGGAGTCGTCTACCTTCTCCGAAGACTCAGAGTTTGACATTGACAACGAATCCACGAACGAACCAGGCTGTTCGAGTGGGTTGACGGAGCAGGTAGGGGAAGGAAAGCGAACGCTTCTTGAGCCATTGAGTAGGTGGGCTGCTAAGTCAAAAACGGCTCATGCCCATGTGAATAATCTGTTGAAGATTCTCAAGCCCTTCCATCCCGAGCTCCCGTTGGACATACGCACACTGCTTGGTACTTCAAGCGACCCTGCACCGTTTACGGCCATGGGCAATTGTGAGTATGTTCATTTGGGCCTGATTAGACAGCTGACTGACCAGTTACGTTGCCCAATTCCACAGTGTCCATTGCCTGATGTACTTATTTCTCTAGCTATAGATGGTCTACCTATTTACCGGAAGACTAAGCTTGAGTTTTGGCCTATTCTATGTAGGGTTATGGAGCCCATAGTGGGCACAGTTTTTGCTGTACGAATCTATTGCGGTGTATGCAAGCCGCCGGACGTCCAGGCATTCTGCAAACCATTGGTTGATGAGTTATCATCATTGTCCGAGAATGGCTTGCATGTCAATTCGATTGACAGAACCCTGAACGTCCGCTTAGCTGCAGTCAATTGTGATGCTCCAGCTAGGACGTTCATTAAGCAAATTAGGAATGTCAATGCCTACTACGGCTGCGAGAGATGTTACATGAAAGGTGAATATATAGACAAGGTTGTATACGATGGCGTTTAAGAGCCATTGAGGGTGGATGAGGACTTTTTATCTGCACCGGACAACCCTCACCACACAGGCGTGTCACCTCTGTTGGCGTGTAACGTTGGAATGATAAGTTCATTCCTTCTAGATCCTCTGCATTTCGTATATTTAGGTGTAATGAAGAGGCTACTTTATTTGTGGCTTCGCGGCCCAAGAGAAACTGCGTTTAGGTTGACAACGGCAGAAGTTTCTCTCATCAATACTAGATTGCGTTCCTTAAATGCATCCCTGCCGCGGGAATTTTCTCAGCGTGCTAGGGCAATAGGTGACATGGACATGTGGAAGGGTACGGAACTGCGGCAGTTTTTGCTGTACACAGGCATAGTTGTATGACAAGAGAGATTTTGTGTCGGGAAATGACGAGTCTTCGTCCTCAGTAAGGCTATCAAGTTATTCGCTAATACGGCATTCAGAAGGTAGAAAGTGCAAGTGATTCAAGTGAAACGATCCCGGGATGCATGTCTTTCTCTTACTTACGTAAGCAGTTTTAATGTTTATACTTACATATTAGATGACACTTCCTCACGCCCACTTACCAGTACGCCAACAAGGAAACGACGGCGAAATGCTAGTCGTAAGTCTACGAAAGAGAAGAAGAAGAAGAAGAAGAAGAAGAAGAAGAAGAAGAAGAAGAAGAAGAAGAAGAAGAAGAAGAAGAAGAAGCGACAATACTGGATGATGTATTCTCAACAAGATATAATCAAGCGGCTTACTGACCTTTGCACTAAGGTCGACAATTTGGACGCCCATGTCAGGAGTCTTGTCGCCGCCTCCACACCGCTACCGTTTGAGGAAGGTCCGGCATGGCAACAGGTCAGTTCGCTGGCCGCCTACGACCGATTATGTGCGGCTTTGTCAGATGCCCAATACCGACGTCGATTGGTAAGTTATTTATTATCCATAAACACTTTACACAGATATGTTACTTATCTGGAGCTGGAGGTGAGAATACGCCAGCATTTGCTGATCGCATTTTCACCACACTATTCACAGAAGACGTGACAGAGTTTCTGACATTCTACGGGAAAAAACCCGGAAGTAGAGCCTTTTTTGGTTCACCAATCTACGATCTAATACTCGGTAACACTTTGAATTCATGTACATTATGCATTTTCCCTACTAGACGTCTTCAGTAAGTGGTGTGCAAGCCATGCATCTGACAGACAAAAACTAGAAGACGCATTTAAAAACGTCTTCAAACGGGCTCACGACAGACAACAACGAAAATGCAATAAAGCATCAATAAGCGGACTGCAGAACGGTAATATATACTTGAATGATTAATTTGTCTGCTTAATTAACTTTAATGCGGAATAAAACCACAATTACATGTTCTTACTGTTCTGCGTTGTCTTCCTTTCAGATGCCCAACCACCAGAAGACCTTGAGAGGACCCAAAATGATAATCAATGACAATTGTATTTTTGTATATTTTAAACACAGATTTTTAACTATTTTTGATAAATAAAATTTTTTATAACTAATCCGGATTGGTATTATATTTGAAGGGATGTGAGTACTGCTATTGGGTGGGGGTGGGGTCGGCGGATATCTGGAGGGTAAAGACCCCTATATATTTTTATTCGGCAATCTCGTATTTTCGAGCTCGTTACGAATGCAGAACGAGCCCGCTGTCGCGAATTTAAGAGCCCGTTACGAGGGCGCAAAACCGAGGGCGCATCGAGCTTGGTTGCCTGGACAAACCAGAGCTCGAAACGAAGCCCGTAAGGCTGATGTGCGCCCCCGTTATGAGCTTGCAACGAGCTCTCTTTGCTATTAGGGATAGAAACGGAAAGTTTAAGCTGACGGGCGTGTGATCTTATAGTTTTTTGGTTAAAATACAGAACGTATCAACCCCTTTCCCCGGTGCAAGCCTCCAAACCTACTGCCCCGATCTTCCGCTCTGAATCCGCTAGGACTCTGTGAACAGTTAGGGTTTTTTTCATATTACAGTCAGTTTTTTCCCGTTACGATTAGCCTCCATATCTCAAGCTTTCACTCAATTATTCAATTGTTGGATATCTGCAATGGCCAGTGGAGATTCTGGCAAAATCATGCAAGACTAAGTACAACGAAACTTTGACCACATGACCCAAATCGGAAAAGACTTTACTATCAAGGAGCCCTGTGTGCCTGGGGGCTACATCTTTTCTGACAGTGCCTTCACAGGCGAAAGAAATGCGTTGGGTACATAAGTGTCTAAAAACGTCAGAAATCAGAAGTTTAGGATAGATATGATGCACGATTAAAACAGCCGCAGTAGCTAGAATAAGGCGGAAAACATGATACTTTATCGGGTGTGCGGGCCTATGCCTATCTCCAATTCTCCTGGTCGCATTTTCTTGTATATCTGGACTATTCTGCATTCTTGCTTGAATATGGTAAAATACACAACGACTCGTCTCGGATTGTGGCAATACGTGTTCCAGATTCGCCGTCATTTGATGCCGATTGTTCATAACGCACTTTTACGTGTCTGAATATGTTTTACTCAAGTACAGAATGCAACTGAGAGTTCTTCCTTAGTCACGTTCTGCAGAACGTTGATCCACCCGGGTGACAGGCACCATTAAGAAGAATTAACTCGAATCTTTTGAGAATTACCTAAAACGACCCTTACTTTTTGAAACAATCTTACACTCGCGAGGACCTTACTTTTGTGAGTCCGTACAAAAATTCACCTTATCCGTGCTTTCCATTCTTTTTTCTGTC